GACTGACTAATGAAATTGAATTTTAATTTATACCGACCCACGGCGGGGGGACTGGGCGCGTCCTGGACTCTGCCAAGTCCTCCGGGAGGGAGGGGCTCCAGCGCCCCCACGTTCAAGGCCCTGCCGGCCTTGAACCCCACTTTCTCTCCGTCCCCCAGTCTGCAGGTCTGACCTCGCTCAGGTGTGACTGCAGCAGCTCTGGCGAGAGACGGTGGTGGACAAGGGACAGGGTAACGATGTTTGGGGGTCCCTGGGGGTCCCCAACCCCTTCCCCCTCCTAGGTGTCTCTCCGAGATCCCGTGGACCCCATTGACTATGGGGTCAGCAGAGTCTTTTCTGGGGTGTGTGAGCTTGGGTACCTGTGTCCCCAGGGGGCCTGTGTGGCCCTCACTTCCTGCCCATGTGGCATATGTGTGGTGACCATGCGGTGACCACCTGCCGGGGTCCAGGGAGGGGACCTGGGGACAGAGGCTGGCGGTGTCCCCGTCAGGCCATCTGGACGTCCCCTGCTTGGCGGCTTCCTGTGGCAGCTTGGACGAGTGACCTCTAGCTTAAGGCGGGGGTTGGCTGACACCTGGCCTGCGTCCCCGTCCCCGCCTCCAGTGGCGCCTGTGGGAAGGCGTGCGGAGCTGGACGGCAGGGGCCTCCGCCCACGGGGTGGCAGCTCGGAAGCCACCGTCTTTGTGGCTCTCTGCTGGGCAGCCACGTGGGCCTTACTCACAGCCCTCTTCCTGCTGTTTTGTCATTTTTCTGGGTAGGGTTTTGCATTTAGCCGGGCTGGCTTGTGCCTCCTGGGTAGCCGGGATTACAGGCGTGAGTCACCACACCGGCCTGCGCCCCTCAGCCGAATGGAGTCAGTGACCCGAGGTCAGGACTGGCAGGGAGCAGGTGGCAGGGTGACGTCCACCCTCCCGACAGTCCTGGAGGGACTCTGAAGACTCCGTGCGTGTGGCCGTCCCCAGACGACACAATCGAAACACGGAACATCCCCTGGAGCCAAACAACCCGCTGTGTGCCCTCCTTCCGGCCTGAGAAACAGCTGTGTTCTCGATCGACTATTTGTTTTTCTCGGCATGGCTCTGTGAGTTTATGGTGTGTCCTGTAAGTGACACGTCACAGATCTGTCCCATTGCACAGCTGCAGACACAGAGGCCAGGGCCACGTGTCACTCAACACCAGCGAGGGCATCTCTGCAGAGTCCCTCTGGGGACTCGGGGACACGGGGGACCCTGGAGGTGACGCCCCCCCACCATCCCATACGCCCCAATCCTTAGTGGCTCAGCCTGCGACTTCTGTCTCTATGGCGGGAGGCCTGGGAGGGGTTTGGGGACGGGGTGAGGCTCATGGGGTGTGTGGTGTGGTGTGGTGAGGTGTGGGTGTGGGGTGGGGTGTGGGGTGGGGTGGGGGGTGGGGTGGGGGGTGGGGTGGGCTGTGCGTGGTGTGGGTGTGGGGACATCTGTGTCACAGGCCGTGGGAGCCATGTCCCCTGTGCTGAGGTTGGGGTGCAGTCGTGGGAGAGGCCCAATGGCCCAGCAGCCTCCCCGGTGCAGCAGCTCACTCAGCAAACAGCTGCGCACCACGCCCTTCCGCCACCCGAGGGCGCCAGAAGTCCTCCCAGAGTCTGACAGTGACACAGACAGACAGACAGACGCGAAGACAGGGAAGGAAATCACACAAAATGACAGCAGGTGACGGTCATCGGTCATCGGAGCTGACAGAGCCATAAATCCCGTCCCCTTCCCGGGCCCATGGGTACAACTTCCCGACAGCCCCTTCTGTTCCAGGTTTGGGAAGTCACATTCCGGAGGGAGGGACGTCCTGTCTGTAATGGTGACCAGGTGTGACAGGGGCTTGGTCAGCAGAGGGACGTCCGTGTGCCGTGCTGCAGGGCCAGGAGCCCTATGGGGGTGACCCGTGTCCGTGACCCTGAGAGCCAGGCCCTGCCAAGCCTGGGACCACCGTCCAGGACAAAAGGTGACAGGCCCGTGTGTCAGCATGGTTGCATAGTTTAAGCCCGTGGGGTCTCAGAGGACAGGAGGTGGTCACTGGGCCACAGTGACCCCCAGCCAGGCCTCCTGGGCCCACTTCTGCTTGGGGTTCTGGCTGCTTTCCCCCCCACCCCTCAATGTGCCCAAGGCTCCCAGGGTCACTCGTGAGGCCAGGAGAGGCCTTCTGCCCCAGTGACCATGAGGCCGGGAAGTGTCCACGACAGACCCAGGCTCAGGGACAGGGACTTTCTCACACCCAGACCTCGATCCTCTCCGAATGGTCTGCACGGGCCCTGGCCTGTGGCCCTGCAGCGTTTGGACATCGGGTCCGTCCTCCAGGCTTGGTGACCTCAGGGGCTGAGGGAGGAGGGAGACCCCACAGCAGATCCCACTGGAGTGGGGACAGCAAGCCAGGCCCGAGTGTGGCCACCAGCTGTGGAATGACAGAGTCACGGGGGTGGCGGTCAGCAGTGAGACCCCAGAGGACAAAAATAACACTTCACAGCTGGAAAGAGGTTTATTTATTTTTGGTGGATCTGGATTTGAACTCAGGGCCTCTCACTTGCTGGGCAGGCGCTCTACCACTTGAGCCACTCCGCAGCCCTTTTTTGTGGTGGGTTTTTTGAGATGGGGTCTCAGGAACTACTTCCCTGGGCTGGCTTTGAACCCCGATCCTCCTGATCGCTGCTTCCTGATAGCTGGGATTACAGGAGTGAGCACTGGTGCCTCCCTCTGTTGCAGGGAGGGGAACCCTGGGTTTGCAGAGGTCCGAGGGGCCATGGCTCAGAGCCAGGTGGGAAGAGAGCCCGTGGGTTGGTCGCGGGAATGAAGTGACCCTGGGTGGCTTAGAGGCGGTGGCGGGGAGGTGGGGGGACTTGAATGGCGAGTCAGGTGCAGTTGGGACCCCCGAGGCTGGGCGTAGGTTTCTAGCTTGGGGGGCTGGGGTCCCGTGTGTGGCCGGTGGGCAGGAAGAGGTTCCAGGGCACAGTGTTGGCCTTGTCTGGATTGGGACAGTAATTGAGAGGGGAATTCACTTGAAGTGACCAGGTGGTCACTAGAGAGGCTGGATTTGGGGTCCTGGCAAGAACTCACTTGGTCCTCACAGTGGCCCGGGTGGCATGTCACCCTCACTCTACAGACGAGGACACCGACTTTCCAGGGACCCCGGGAAGTTATCCTGGATTCACATCCTTGTTCCCATCTCTGGGACTCTTTTGTCCCATGTCACATGTTCAGAACTGACCGCGACCCGTGGGACCTGGACGGCCGGCATGGAAACTGCACACGACTCTTAGCCAGGCTCCTGGCGTGTCACAGCCGTGGTGTCCACGGGGTCGGTCCCTTCACGCGTCTGACCTAGTGTCCCCACAACCAGAGTGACAGCTCCCCGTCCTCCCCTCCCCCCGTGTGCCCCTTTCCTGGTGCAGCTGTGGCGTCTGGTCACCTGCCAGACTGGCTTCCTGCCGTGGGAGGTGACAGGCCTGCGGTGACACAACTGGCACGGTGACAGCCAGGAGCCCCTCCCCCCAGTTCCTGTTGGCACCAGGGCAATGCAGAGAGGGGGCGCTGGGAGGACGACCACCCAGCGGTGGGGACACAGGGGTCCCCTTCCTGCACCCGGGTCTGAGGTGGTCCTCTTGTCTTCCTTGCACTTTTTTTCCTTTTTGTGGCACTGGGATTTGAACTCAGGGCTTTGCACTTGCAAAGCAGGTGCTCCACCACGAGCTGCACCTCCTGTTATGTTGCTCTCGTTATTTAAAGATGGGGCTGGCCTCCATCCTTGATCCTCCTGACCTCTGCCTCCTAGTAGCTGGGATTACAGGCGTGAGCCACGGCGCCCGGCGCTCACCTTTCTCAGCCGGCCCGTCTTCCCCAGAGCTGTGCACCTGCCACAGGCTTATCCAGGCCTTTTCTCTGGTCACATCTGTGCCCTTGGCACCGCTTCCAAGTGCAGTCACGATGGCCTCGTGCGGGCAAAGTCGCTCTTTAACACCAGGGGCACACGAGACGGGCGGAGGTCCCCGGCTCCGTGTCCCTTCGTCTCAAACAGCCCAGTCATGGCCTCTGGGAAGACGGTGCCATGTCGTCCTGCAGACTCAGGCCTGAGGCGCAGGGACGGTCGATCGTCACAGAGAGGGGACGTGGAGGGCCGCCTGGACCCCACCATGGCCGCCACCTCCCCAGAGAGGCATTGATTTTGGGGTTGGGATTTGACAGTGGAGTTCTGCAGACCCCGGCAGGTCAAAAACCCGGCATTTTAAACCACGGAGAAGACATTTTCCTCTGTCTCAGAGGAGCTGCTCCGGGCTGTAAATAACAGAGCTGAAATAGCCACTCAGCACGGGGCAAGTTTATTTCTGCCTCATGGCAAAAAAGCCCAAACCCAAGCAGCAGGGCTGGGCTCGCCAGTGTCTTTCTGTCCTTGTGGTCACCTCAAAACCGCAAGACGACTGCGGGAGCTCCAGCCAGCATGTCTGCATTCCGAGCAGGAGGCTGGAGGAAGGGGCTGCGTTGGCTTTGCTCTTTTCCCCTCCCAAACCTTGGCTTATAGTTTCTCTTTTTTTGGTGGTAATGAGGTTTGAACTCAGGGAGAAGAAAGTTCTAGAACGGCATTGCTGTCGCAGAGGAAGCACGACTCTCCTGCACGCCGGGGTCCTGGGAGAGACCCCCGGGTGACCTCACCCCGCAGGGCACCCTGGGCTGGAGGGACGGGTGCAGGGGTGACAGGCATGTGCTTCAGGGGCTGGGGTCCAGGGTGCCAAGCACGGCCAGCAAGTCCTCCAGAGCTGCTGGAGGTCCCTCCCGCGGTGACCGTCACCATCATCCCCCAAGGCAGGAGGCTGCGGTGTCAGACGGGGTCACCAGCCATGCCCCCCGACCCGGGTGTCAATCAGGCAGCTGGGAAAACCAGGAGCCCGAGTGGCTTCTGCGCTGTGGGAGCCGAGTGTGGTGGCACAAGTCTGTAATCCCAGCTCCTCTGCCAGCAACGAAATGGAACACCAAGCACGAGAGAAATTTTAATTCGAGAGAAACCGGAGCTCCCCAGGCCTGTCCTGCCTGGGAATGGACTTACAGTGTTGTCCCCACCAGGGGTGGACATCAGGTCCCCGCTCTCAGAGACCCCCTGCCCGCCCCTGTGTTACATTCAACAGCTGTCCGGGCTTGAGAGAGGCCGGCCTGGGCCTCGGGGTCCGTGTGTCTGTGTGTCCTCTGTCCTCTCTGCTGACGCCAGCGGGGCCGGGCCACGCGGCTGGGATTACAGCCCTGCCCCGCGCCTCCCCGGGCGCGTCTGTCCGTGGGGTGTCGCGGCCCCGGCCGGCAGGGGTGCCTGGCGACCGTCGGGCTCACAGCTGGGCCTCGTCCACCCACACGGTCTTCCGCTGCTCCTCCCCGATCTTGTCCTTGAGGACGCGCACCAGCTCCTCCAGGCTGCCCCACATGTCGGCCTCCACCGCGGCGTAGAGGCAGGGCAGGGCCTCCAGCTCCTTCTCCTTCGCCCGGCACGCGCGCAGGAACTCGTCCTCTGACTCGGGCCGGGGCAGCAGCTTCCTGGCCGGGGACACGCGGGGGCTGTCGGCGGCTGTCGGCGGCTCTGCGGGGTCAACCCTCCCCTGGGGGGCGCAGGACTGTCGCCTAGGTCACCTGGAGCCCCGCTGACCACGGCTGCACCCAGCTCTGCTCCTCGGGCCGTACAGCTTCCCAGTGGTTTCTTTAGTGGGATGGGATTTGAACCCAGGGCCTCGCACTCGCCAGGCAGGTGCTCTCCGCCTGGCCACACCCCAGCCCTGTCTGTTCTGGGTATTTTTTAGATAGGCCTGGCCTCAGACCACGATCCTCCTGACCTCTGCCTCCTGAGTAGCTGGGATTACAGGCGGGAGCCACCATGCCTGGAGGGACATGACTTTTTGTCCCCAGGCCCCCTTCTCTTCTCCTCCTTTAGGGTGACCTGCTCAGGTGTCATAGTGCCAGGCAGCTGGCCACCCCAGCCCCTGTCCCCTGCATGTGTCCTACCCAAGAGGCCCTGGGCTCCATCTTCTGTGAGGATTTGCTGAAATCCTCACAGGAGGACACGGGGACCGGAGGACTTGGGAACAGGAGGACAGGAAGACATGGGGACAGGAGGACACGGGGACAGGAGGGCACAGGGACACAGGAACACAGAGACAGGAGGACACAGGGACGGGAGGACACGGGGACAGGAGGACAGGAAGACACGGGGACAGGAGGACACGGGGACACGGGGACATGGGGACACGGGGACAGGAGGACATGGGGACAGGAGGGCAGGAAGACACGGGGACATGGTGACAGGAGGACAGGAGGACACGGGGACAGGAGGACATGGGGACATGGGGACAGGAGGACAGGAGGACATGGGCACAGGAGGACATGGGGACACGGGGACAGGACAGGAGGACACGGGCACAGGAGGACATGGGTACATGGGGACAGGAGGACACGGGACACGGGGACAGGAGGGCACGGGGACAGGAGGACACGGGGACAGGAGGACAGGAGGACATGAGGACATGGGGACATGGGGACAGGAGGACAGGAGGACACGGGGACAGGAGGACATGGGGACATGGGGACAGGAGGACAGGAGGACACGGGCACAGGAGGACATGGGGACACGGGGACAGGAGGACAGGAGGACACGGGCACAGGAGGACATGGGTACATGGGGACAGGAGGACACGGGACACGGGGACAGGAGGGCACGGGGACAGGAGGACACGGGGACAGGAGGACAGGAGGACACAGGGACAGGAGGACATGGGGATACGGGGACAGGAGGACAGGAGGACACGGGGACAGGAGGACACGGGGACACGGGACACGGGACACGGGAGGCGGGGACAGGAGGCGCCGAGCCCACCTGAAGCGCTTGACGTTCCTCTCGGACACGCGGATGAGCAGCACGATGGGGAACACCCCGCACTGGATCAGGTCCCGCACGCAGCCCGGCCCGGCCTCCAGCAGGCAGTGCTTGTTCTGCGGCACCGAAGGGACGCATCAGCGCGGCTGTCCCCCACGGGAGCCCTGAGCCCACTGCCCCAACCCGGAACAACCGAGGCAGTGCCGGCCTCAAGGCACAGGCCCTGCTGTGGCCCCAGGGACAATGGTTTGCAGAAAACACCTGCCACTCCAGCGGGCCCTCGAGGCCACTCCTGGCACCAGGCGAGAGGGTGGAAAACACCGGAAAAAGGGGGCGCGCGCCGGACACCTGCAGGGCTCGCAGCCACTGGAGGTGACGTCCCTTCTGAGAAAGTTGCACCAAGCCGGGCACAGTGGTGCACGCCTGTAATCCCAGCACAAGGGAGGCTGAAGCAGGAGGAGTGTGAGTGTAAAGCTGGCCTGAGCTACAGAGAGAGAGAGAGAGAGAGAGAGAGAGAGAGAGAGAGAGAGAGAGGAGAGAGAGAGACAGAGACACAGAGAGACAGAGAGAAAGAGAGAGGGAGAGAAAGAGAGAGACAGAGCGTGAGAGAGAGAATTCCCACCCTGACCTGACACCCGGTCCAGAGGGAGAAGCAAACGGAGTCCTGGGGCTTTTGTCACTACTGCTGCTCCCCGCACCTGCCCAGGAGACAACCACGTCCCCTTTGCAGCTTACCCTCGCTCTGCCTCCCCACTCGCTCATCCCCAAACCTAAAAACCCACGCCAGCCTTGCTGGCTGACCAAAAGCTGGGACTTTGCCTCCCTGGGCACATGTCAGTGACAGGTGACAGGTGACACATGGGGAGGGTGCAGAAGTGACCACCAAGTGCACTGCAGGCATGGAACTTGGTGGGACATCAGCTCCTGCCACCCCCGAGGCCATCATCCCCATGGGGTGATTCAGCTCTCCACTGAGCAGGCCTCTCCCCGCCCGCTAGAACAAGAAGGGACTCCATCCGTGCTTAGGGACAACGAGGGCCCCATTGCCCGGCCTCAGAATTTTCCAGATTGCACACAGATCCCTCTTCTGCATCGCTGGCAATGACACTCGTGATGTCCCACGGCTCCCCTGGCTGGGCGACATGACACCTGTCACCCACTCCTCATTGTCTCTTGCTCTGACAACTTGCTCTCTATCTGTGGCCCTTGTTGTCACAACCAGACACACAGGACTCTAAATGACATGGCAACAGGACACCATTAGAAAGAGAAGCCACAAGATTGGGGACAGCAGGAGGGAGAAGGTCCTCGGCAGATGGCCAAGAGGAGGGGACAGAAGGTTCTGCCACATGGAGGTGAGAACGGCCCTGCAGCCACCCTTGTTCATGGCCCAGGGGATCACGATGACCAGGCAGAGTCTCAGGTCTCGCCAGCTGCCCGTCCCTCTCACCTTGGCGGCCACAGCCTCGATGTTGGCAGGGACAATGCACTCAAAGGTGTTTGGGTTCTTCTCCCGGGAGTGGATGATGGTTTCTGTTTTCTGCTTCTTGAGGAACTCCTCCCTGGTGACAATATCTGCAGTAAGAGGGGACAGATGATCTCGGATGCATCATCCCCTCGTGGGTTCCACAGGATTTGAACTCAACTCCACTGCCAGCCACAGGTAAAGAACCTTATCTTCTCCCCTAACTGTGCAGATCCTGGAGGGCACAGCCAAGGTCACACTTCACACACCCTGCACCTTAGAGCAGACAGAGCGCGTGCTCCAGAGCTGGCTTTTCAACAGGAGTGTCACCGCACAGTGGGGCTCAGGCTCTGCCATGTGACACTGCCACCAGTTCAGTCATGAAGAGTCTCACCCAGAGACCCACCCCCCCATCCACCCATCCACCATCCACCCATCCACCATCCACCCACCCATCCACCATCCATCCATCCACCCATCCATCCATCCATCCACCCGTCCACTCATCCATCCACCCATCCACCCACCCATCCATCCATCCACCCACCCACCCATCCATCCATCCATCCATCCACCCATCCATCCATCCATCCACCCATCCATCCATCCATCCACCCATCCATCCATCCACCCATCCATCCATCCACCATCCATCCACCCATCCACCCATCCACCCACCCACCCATCCACCCACCCACCCATCCACCCATCCATCCACCCATCCATCCATCCACCCACCCATCCACCCACCCATCCATCCATCCACCCACCCACCATCCATCCATCCACCCACCCATCCATCCACCCATCCATCCATCCACCCACCCACCCACCCACCCACCCACCCACCCGTCCACCACCACCCGTCCACCCGTCCACCGTCCACCCGTCCACCCGTCCACCCGTCCACCCCCCACCCATCCACCCATCCATCCATCCATCACCCACCCACCCATCCATCCATCCATCCATCCACCCATCCGTCCACTCACCCACCCACCCATCTGTCCATCCCCCCATCCGTCCATCCCCCTATCCGTCCACCCATCCATCCGTCCACCCAGCCATCCGTCCATCCATCCATCCGTCCACCTTTCAAAGGTGTGCCCAGCTTCCAGGTCTCAGAGGGCCTCGGAGGCCCCAGACCCTGCTGGCAGGGTGAAAGGCGTGGCCAGCGATCCGAGTCATGGGGCTCCGTCCTTGCCCTGTCTGTCTGCCTTTCCCTCCGTGAGCCCTAAACTCTACAAGGAGTGGCACCATCATCCTGGCACAGATGAGGAAACAGAGAAGTCACTTCACCCCAGGTGACACAGCCAGCGGAGCAGGGAGGTTCTCGGGGGCTGGGGAGGGCAGGAATTATCTTTTGTGGGTGCAGAGCATCGGTGTGACCTGGCTGTAGATGGTGGCCATAGCTACAGGACACCGAGCATGTGAACAGCGCTAAACGTCACACTCAGAAGTGCCTCCCCGCGCAGGGTCCCTGTCAGAGCGTCCCCCTCACGCCCAGGACAGCTGGAGTCCTGTGTGTCCCGGGCGGGCCTGGTGCAGTGGCTCACGCTGTAACCCCAGCCTTCAGGAGGCAGTGATGGCGAGGGTCACAGCTCAAGGCCAACCTGGGCGAAAAGCTGAGAGCCCATCTGAAAAAATACCTGAGGCAAGCAGGGCTGGGGAGCGGCTCAAGCGCAGAGCGCCTGCCTGGCAAGTGTGAGGCCCTGAGTTCAAATCCAGTGCCACAAGAAAATCAGAAACTACAGGTGACTTCACCCACGATTGGGACTCCGCCTCTCTCTCATCTCCAGTCAAGCTGGGGGGAGGGACACTGTCATCGTCCCCGCTATGTGTGAGGACCCCAAGACCCACCTGACTTGCAGATGGTGAACTCCAGGGCGCCCCCCGAGTTGAGCAGCCGCTGCACCAGCGCCTTGGCCAGCGCGGTGGGCGTGAAGACCACGGGCCGCCGGCGCTCGCAGTGCACGGCGCGCACCAGGCTGTAGGGCGCCAGGCTCAGGTTCTTGCTGAACTCGCTCTCGGGGTCCAACTCTGGAGGGACGGGGGGGGACGGGGGGACGGGGGGGACGCTGTCAGAGAGAGCCCGGTGGAGGCAGGGCGCACACGGGGCAGGGAGGCCGTGGTCACCTGCGTGTCCCCTGCCCCCGTCCCGCAGAACCTGGAGGCCTGGCAGAGAGGACAGGCTGAGTGTGTGTGGGTCACGCGGTGGGGGGGACGGGTTTGGGGACAAGTCCATAGTGTGACACCATGCTCTTCCGCCACCACAGGCCCGGCGTGTGTTCTGGGCACCCGGGAGTGTCTGTCCCCTTGTGGGACACAGGCAAGGGACGTGTTTCAGGCTCAGGGGACATCACTACGGCCCGGCGGGAAGTGGGCCGAGGAGGGGGACGCCCGGGCACGGTGGGAAAGGCGGGTGCAGGAGCGCGAGGGACAGGAGGTGGCGGGCGGCTTGGAGGACGGCAGGACCACCGGGCAGTGCCCGGGGGCGCTGAGCTCTGGGAGGCCCAGGCTGGGAGGTCCGCCTTTTCCAGCCCCGGGGTGGACAGGGCGCCTGCTGACGCCAGCCTGGGCAGCCTGAGGTCCCCATTCCCAGAACCCAGTGCTCTGTCCCTGTCCCTTGTCCCCTGGCCTGGCCATCCCGGGAAGAAGCCCGGCCTTCCTGATTGTCAGCACTGGGCTTCGGGCTCCCTTGCCCTCAGCGAGGCCGGGGTGGGGGGACAGCAGGGGACGGCTGGCTCACGATCAGCTGGGGGATGGGGTGGGGACACAGGGTACCAGGTGTCCCTCACGCTAGGTAAATGGCCAACACAGGCAGGGAGATCAATAAACAAACACTTCCCAGCGAGTCAATTATCTGAGCGTCCGGGCTCCGGGCCACCGTGCGTCAATCAGGACGCGGCTTGGCGGGCGTCACCAGGAGGCTGCGAGGTCCCCAAGCAAGCCGAGGACCTGCGGGTCTTCCCAAAGCCCTGGACTTTTGGGGGAGCGTCCCTCCTGGGGATGAGGACACCACCTCCAAGTGGGGACATGGTGCAGGGTGTGCAGCTGTGGGATGACCCAGACTGGAGGCCACCAGGACAGCTGGACAGCAGGCAGGGGCCAGGCGGTCACCACAGACCTTCATGCTTGGCGGCGTCCAGCGAGGACCGCGTCAGGCTGCCCAGGGGACCCCCAGAGATGATTCGGACACGCTCATTGCTGTTCATTCTTTTGTACTTGTTTTCTGACCTGCTGACCAACTGGAAGGACATCGGGGCAGGGGAGGGGTGGACACAGGGAGGACACAGTTCCAGAGACTGGTTGACTGTGTTCAATCCCAGTCACATCCCCTGCGAGCACAGGGGACACTCAGCAGAGGGCTCAAGAATCTGTCAGGCTTGGATGGACATCGCCAGGAGGCGAGTGGATAAAATCTCAGTGGTCCAGGCATCATGGCTCATGCCTGTAATCCCAGCTGCCCAGGAGGCCCAGATCGGGAGGATCAGGGTTTGAGGCCAGCCTGGGCAAATAGTTCTCAAGAACTTATCTTGAAAAAACCCATCACACACATGCAAAAAAAGGCTGGCAGAGTGGCTCAAGTGGTAGAGCGCCTGCCTAGCAAGCGTGAGGTTCTGAGTTCAAATCCCAGTAGTGCCAAAAAAAATTTCAACTGGGAAATATCACACACATGCTAGTCAGTGCTTCTTGTGTAACGAGCCACGCAAAAAAATGGGGGAAAAGTCCTTTCTGGAAGCAAAGAGCTAAAACATTTTTGCAGACAGATAAAAATGAAGGCACCTGCTGGGTTTCCCTTTTCCCCTTGGCTGCCGGGCTGCTAAGGTGAATGTAGCACACAGTCCGAGGGGCTAAAGCAGCCTAGAGAGTTGGAATATTTTAGTTTTCTGGACGACTGTATTTCTGATTTTTTTCTATTAATATTCTCACAGCTTGAGCTGTAAGTTTTCCCAAATCTTTTTTCTTTTTCTAAATAAAAGTGGGTTCTGTGCCGTCAGTGGCCAAGACTGTCGGGTGACTTGTGACAGAGAGGATAAACTCAGGCCGGGGGTGAGAGAGACAAAGTGACATAAAAACACGAAGCCCGCTATTTTGATCTGGCTCCTGTTCTCAGTGGAACAAGGGCAGCGGGGAAGGGCACAGGGAGGGCACAGGGAGGGCACAGGGAGGGGACAGGGAGGCTGGTCGGTGGGTGACCTCACCTGGAGCAGCTGCCCGAAGAAGAAGCTGGCTCGGGAGAGGCGGGGGCTGACCCGGGGGTCGCCGGCCGGCAGCAGGGGCTCTTCGGGCTGTAGGGTGTTCTGGAACGAGGAAGAACGAGCGCCGTTTGGCAAACCCCGGCCCTGCCCCGCCCCCACGTCAGGTCCCCTCTGTGCTCAGTGACAGGTGGCGCCTGACAGCGGCAGACAGGGATCCAGGAAGGTGACCCCGATCCAACAGTGACCAGAGAGGCGGGGTGGGGGACCCGGCCGCCACCATTGCCCCCTTCCACGTTGGGAAAGGCAGGGTGCAGGACGGGTGCGATCCAGGCGCCGTCTGCTCAGAACCCCGGGGAGTCGACGGACCCCGGGAGGCAGGTGTGAGGCCACAAAGGCCACCGCCATCCCTGCCACCCCGTGGGCCTCGGCAAGACCTACCCGCAGGGTCCTTAGGGTGTGCTGGGCGCCGTCCACCTCCTCCCGGCTGCCGCGGTGCAGTAAGCGCTGCAGCTTGACCAGGAGCAGCTGCTGGGCCCTGGGGAGGCGACAGGGCAGGTGGCCGGGGTCCTCGAGGGACCTGAGCGAGGACTTTGCTCTCCTGAGCCTGGACGTCCCCGTGTGTGGCCCTGGTGGGCTGCTGTCCCCCTCCCAGGACCCGCCTGCAGCAGCTGTGACCCAGTGGGCAGCTGTCACCGCTGGACGTCCAGCATCATAGGCCTGAGGACGGCTCCGCCCAGGGCAGTTTGGTGACAATTTTGGGACACGGTCCCAGGAAGAGAACTGAGCAGCAAACACAAGGAGAGGGCAGGGCCAGGGCACTGTGCCTGTCCTTCCTGCAGGACGCAGTGGGGGGGACTGGGGACTTCACGCGATGGTGTCCCCGGCATCGGCTGACCCCGGCTGTCCCCCTGCTGGCCTCACCGGCTGTAGCTGGGGATGGTGCCCATGTCCAGGTCCTGGTCAGTGAAGGGGTCGACCCGCGCACACAGCCACTCGTGCCGGTCCTGGAACATGGTGTCGCGGACATGCACAATGTCACCACACTTCAGGGACAAGGAGCAGGCGTCCAGTTGGCTGGAGATGTTGAGGTTCAGCCGGATATAGAATGAGTCCCCAGATGTGACCAGGCCGTCCTCCATGTCCTTCAGGAGCTTGTGGTACCCTGGGGAGGACACGGTCCACACAGGTCAGCGTCCCCTGTGTCTGGGGACAAATGCTCCTCCTGATGGACGAGTGAGTGGCTATGCCCTTGGTGACTTTCCCTTTTTGTCGTGGCTGCTGGGAAGCTCTGAGTTAAAGTTTGTGTGGCCCAGGATGCCCTTGAACTCGCAACCCCCGCCTCAGCCACCCTAGTGCTGCAATTGTGTGCACCACCACCCCAGGCTCCCCTCTGTCAGTCTCCGCTCCAAGGGTAAACTGTCCTGACTGCTGTCACCCCAGCCTCTCTGCGCCTCAATTTGTGATTCACAAATAGAATCAAAGCACAGAAGCACTTTTCTTTCCTGTGACATTACGTCAGTCACATTCACGCTGTGCTCCTTTTCACTGCTGTATAGCGCTCCACTCTTTCTCGTGCACGTTTGTAGTGTGTGCAGGTTGGGGCTGTGACCAGTAACTGTCGTCAACTGTCCTTAGACACCATTTCTGGGGACGCGTGAGCTCCTTTCTCTTGGGTAGCAGCACACAGGGGAGAATCGAGTGTTCAGATTTGGAGGACTTTGCCACGTGGTTTTCTAGGCTGGTGAGACCGTAGCGCGTGGTGTCTTCACTTTAAATGTCCCTGTCCTTTTCTGTGGACTTCTGGAAAGATCTTTGCAAGGGAGCAGGGCTAAGCTATGACGTGGTGAACGCAGACGCTCTGAGCGAGCAAACCAGGGCCACAGGCTGAGGGCTGTGAGCGCAGTGCAGCCCACAACGGCCAGGAGCCCGGCGGACGTCCATGTCACACGGGCCGGGGTCTGGGCGTGGAGAGGCGGGGAGTCCCTGTCCTTTGGTCCTCCTCCTGACTTTGTCGCAATCCCGCTCACTGTCAGACTGGGGACAGAGCCACTCGCTCCGTCGCCTCTGCCTCTAGAGGGGCTTCCTTTCTCTTTGTTTGCGGCACTGGGTTTGAACTCAGGGGCTTCACCTTGAGCCACTCCAGCAGCCCTTTTTGAGATGGGGTCTCAAGGACTATTTGCCCCGGCTGGCTTTGAACCGTGATCCTCCTGATCTCTGCTCCTGAGAGGCTGGGATTGCAGGCAGAGCTGAGGACAGGGCCGTGCCACCGCTGGACTCTAGAGGGCGCCGCTCACAGCACGGTCTAGGCCAGCGGTGGTGGGGGGGGGGACGACACTTGGCTGTGTTTGGGGACAGGGCGTCGCCGCTGGGAAGGGGAGAAATGGCTTTTCCTGCTCTGCTGAGACATGATGAGCCCTGGCCAAAAATAAGACCAGTGGAGGGGGAGAGAGAGAGAGAGAGAGAGAGAGAGAGAGAGAGAGAGAGAGAGAGAGAGGGAGAGAGAGAGGGAGGGAGGGAGAGGAGGAGAGAGGAGAGAGAGGAGAGGGAGAGGGAGGGAAAGGAGAGAGGGAGAGAGAGGGAGAGGGAGAGAGAGGGAGAGAGAGAGGAGAGAGAGGAGAGAGAGAGAGAGGAGAGGGAGAGAGAGAGGAGAGGGAGAGAGAGAGAGAGAGAGAGAGGGAGGGAGAGAGAGGGAGGGAGAGGGAGAGGGAAAGAGGAGAGAAAGAGAGGGAGAGAGAGAGGGAGAGAGGGAGAGAGAGGGAGAGAGAGAGAGAGAGAGGAGGGAGAGAGGGGAGGGAGAGGAGAGAAGGAGAGAGAGAGGAGAGAGAGAGAGGGAGAGAGAGAGAGGGAGGGAGAGAGGGGAGAGGAGGGAGGGAGGGAGAGACAGGGAGAGAGAGGGAGGGAGGGAGAGGGAGAGAGAGGGAGGGAAGGGGGGACAGAGAGAGAGAGGGAGAGAGGTGGGGGGAGAACAGAACTCAGGTACAGGGCCAAGATGATGGATGGACAGGAACAGAGGCCCCCAAACTGCTGGGGGGACAGACACAAGGCCAGGCTGGAGAGAGAGACCAGAGAGAGAGAGAGGGAGAGAGAGTGTAAATCTGCAAATCCCAGCCTGGACAGGCACAGCCGGGGCCACTGCAGCCACCGCGTAACCAGTGGGAATCCGGGGTGGGCAGCGTGGGTGACCTTGGCCTGTGTGACACAGACAAGCCGCCGCCACCAAACGTGTGAGAAAGAGACGCCGGGCCCAGGGTCCGGGACGTCCTGCCGGCCTGGCCTCACCTTCGTGGTTGACCTTGTAGTGCAGGGTCACGGGGCCGCTGCACCTCTGGATTGTCCAGCGGGCCTCCTCCTTGGTGCACGCGTCCAAGGGGACGCTCTGCCGCTCGCCTCTGATGCAGCCGTCCAGCTGGGGCAAAGACACGCCATTCTTGCTGTGGACTCTGCAGAGGCCACCGGGGCCACAGGTGGGGCTGCCCATGGACACCACGGCCACCTGGCTCCGAGTCACAGTCACAGCCACCCTGGCAGTCACATTTGTGTCCTGCCACCATGGCAGGGGACACGAGCCCTGTCCACTGCATTTCAGCCGTCACCACAGGGCCCAGGACACCTCTCTGACTGAGGTGGCCCTTGCTGGCTCTGGCCCTGGGAACACACTGACCTCTGGTCACTGCCCTGGGGCGTCCACACGTGCGCGCGCGTGTGTGTGCACGGGACGCACGCCAGGAGCAGGGCGGAGAAGGACCTGGGGACACCGCCCGCCGCCGTCACCTCCCCCAGCGCCTCACCAGCAGCAGCTGCTGGCCCTGGTGCAGCCCGGCCTTCTCGGCCAGCGAGCCCGGCTTCACCGAGTGGACGAAGCTTCCCCGGGCGTTGCCTCCCAGCAGGGTGACCTGGTTGACGAGGCCATCGCCGTTCAGTGTCGTGTGTTGCACCAACGACCCCGGGCCCCGCATGTGTCCCCCGGACGTCACCGAGGGCCGGAACGGTCTGTGGGGAGCAGAGCGGTGTTGAGGTGACCGCCGGGCTGGAGGAAGAAGAGCCCCGTCCCCTGGGGCAGGACAGAGGGCTGCGCGGAGACCCGGTGGACGGCAGGGCAGGAGACGCCTGGCCCTGAGTCACTGTCACTGTCACAGCCACCTGCTCGGCCACGTTCGACTCAACTACGGGGTGTGGCTGTGCCACCACAGAAGGGGCCACGCGAGCCACGTCCACTGCGCCTCGGTGGTCACCACAGGGTCATCACCACAGGCCTGTCTGGCACCTACGTCCTGCATCTTTGTCACTTTGACTCAGGTGGCCCTGGGGACCTCTCTCTTGTGGACAATGTGGGGGTGACTTCAGGGCTGCTGTCCTCCCTGGACTCATCTCAGAGGACACAGGGTCACGAGATCACACGATGGTCCCCTCTGCAGGGAGGGAGGGTGACCTTTGCCCTGTCCCCGTCACTCCCCCCCCCCCGGGGTCCCCTTGCCGTGTCCCCTCCCCCCGCCCCCGTACCTTTCTAGAGAGAATTTCCTGAACATGAGGTTGACCTGCTCCAGGTCGTAGGCGTCCAGGCCCTCGGACTGGTGTGAGGAGGATGAGGAGTGGATGGACGGGGGACCGAACGAGTAGCGCTCGTGGCTGTCATCTGCCAACAGGCGAGCGAGGGCTGTCAGGACCCCAGGTGCCATGGGGCGCAGGCACCCAGGCCTGTCCCCAGACCCCGAGGGGAGGGGGTCAGGGCTGGGGACAATGGGCTCCTCCCTGACACCCCATGGGGGGCAGATGGCCTTGTCCTGTGTCCCCTCCACTCTAGACACCTCCTGCCTCACGGGTCCTCTCTCATGAGGGGCCCTGCTTTTAGGACCCCCGTGTTGTGTCTGCAAAGGGGGCTTTTGTCAGCTGTTGCATTTTCTTTCCCTTTTGGCGGTGCTAGGATTTGAACCCGGGGCCTTGCCCTGGCCAGGCAGGAGCTCTGCCACCCGAGCCACCCCGTCCCTTTCGCTTTGTGATTTTTTTTTGCATTTTTGCCCTGGTTTGGTCTGGGGCTGCAATCCTTGCACCTCCACCTCCCGAGTAGCTGGGATTACAGGCGGGATCGACCACACCTGGCCCTACCTACCGTTTTGGGATTCCTAAGGCTTACCCTCACCCGCTGGCTTGCCAGACCATGACTGGGGTTCTCCTGTCCCTCCCCCTCAGCCGGACCCCGAGGACCTTGGAGACGACGCCACTCCACACGGCCGGCCGGGGACAGGGCCGGGGACGGGGACAGGAGAATCTGCTCAGGTCTGATAACAAAAGGATTCTGCACAGGGATTTTTTCCCCCCGACGCTGCAAAATCCTCTGGACGGCTGCCCAGGATTCCGTCCCCAAAACTCGTCCAAGTGTCATTACCCAGCTGCCATCAGGACAACCTCGCTTAACTCCCGACAGATCCTCACGCTCCAGCTGGCCCCTCGCTCGCTCGCTCGCTCGCTCGCTCAGCTGGCCGGGGCACAGGCCGGGCGCACCGGGGGATTCTGAGCCAGTGTCCTGCGAGGCCAGCCATGCGGGGACCGGGGACACTGCCACCTCCCCGGGCACGGACACCGGGCGGGTCGCGGGCTTGTAAATCTGTCTTTCTGCCCTGTCACCTCCCAGCGGTGACACCACAGCCTGCCCAGGCAAGGACCTGGGGACCGGACCCTGTGTCCCCGGCACCCGGCCATAAGTGAGTTCCACCCTCGTCCACCAGGCCCTCGAGTCTGACCTATTTGGGGTCAGGGGAACATCCAAGTCCCCACCCGAGCACCAGCTCCGCCCACGGGGATATCTGCAGACTGTCTCTCCACTCTCCTGGCAGTGTCACCAGATGTCCCCAGCCTCAATCACACTCTTATTGCAGGTCAGCCAAGAGATGGACACACGTGCCTGCTTCCCGGCCACCTGCCCCCGTTCTTTCAAGACCCATTTCTTTGTCTGTAATTTGTATTTTTCTGGAACCAGCTGTCTGTTTTTGTTTCTTTGGCCTCACTTTGTAGCCCAGACTGGCCTTGAACCCCGATCCTCCCGCCTCAGCCTCCCCAGTGCTGGGATTACAGGCGTGACCACCACGCCCAGCTCTACTGGACACCTTGCTTTATGGCTGGCTCCTGACACAGATGAGCTCACCTCCCAGACCACGTCCCAAGGACCCATCGCAGCCCTCGCCAGGCCCCCCGGGCCCCTCCAGACCCGCAGCTACGCACCGTCCAGGTCTAAGGCCTCAAAACCACTGCTGTCGTTGTCCTCTTCGATTGTGCTAGAAGACACAAGGGAGGGGCGGGAGGGCGTCCACGTGAGTGTGGACGTGCAGGTGGGCAAGGGAGGGCAAGCTTCCGGAACATTCTGGCTTTCTGAGATGCCCAAGTTCAGTGAGGGCAGTACGGGAGGGAGAGGAAGGTCAAGGTGAGCAGAGAGGGAGGGGATGAGGCTGGGAGGGTGGGTGCCCCAGCAGCCTCTGCAGGTCATGAGGAAGAACAGTGGGCAGACACCACAGTGGCCACACCTGTCATTTATCACCCGCTTGGTCCGGGGCCCAGTGGGAACTTGACACCCACTTCTGCTCAGGTGTCTGCAGATGGGAGTGGGTGGAATGAGTCCTCAAGTGACCAGGTGTGGCCTCACAATTGCCCCTGGCTACAGGTGGCCATGTGGCTTCTGAAAGCCCCTCAAATGCCTGTCCAAGCTGGCCAGAGGAGGCCAGGCCACTTGTCCCCACGGCAGGGCACCAGCAGGAGGGACCCCAGATCCAGCCACCCCTTGCTCTTAGCCCCTCCACAAACCACCAGTATCTGACATTTTTGCCAGAAGCGACCTCAAACCATGATCCTCCTGAGTAGCTGGGATTACAGGCGTGCACGACCACACCCGGTGGTATTAAGTCCCAGCCGGCTCACCTGTCCTTACGATGGCCCCTGACCTCGCCTTCCTGTCAAGGTGGCTGGGAGGCCGGTGGTGTTGAGCGTCCAGCTGCCTGCAGAGGACGAGCCAGCCGGCCGTGCCAGCCACTCACCTGCGGTGCGGGGTGTCCTCCTTACAGCGCCTGAGGATGGAGTCGTTTCCAGGCGGCTCCGCGGTGATGGACATGACACTGCTACGGCCACGGTGGGGAGGCTGTGGACACGGCACGGCCACGTTACAGGGATGCACCCGCCGTGGCCTCGATGGACACGGACGCCCACACCACCCCGGGGGACCGAGCGAGGCTCGCGGCGTGGTCCTCCAGTGTGACCTTGGCGGCCCCATTCTGTTCTTGGGACACAGGCCGCGTGGAGCCGTGGTGGGGCTCCGTGTCCCCGGGCTGTGCATCGGGGAAGGCAGAGGAGGGGATGGCTACTGGGGGACGGGGTGACCTGGAACCCTCCTTAGATGGTGGCCTTGACTTCTGTCCCTAGAGCTGCCACCAGCGGGGCACGGGCATTCCTGAATCTGTCCCCCCGCCCAGGCCTGACGGGGGAAGTGGAGCCAAAAGCTTCCTACGGCTCCTTTGGGGTCAGAGGTTCTAATCCCCAGTCTTCTGAGGCCTGGCTGGGGTTGGGACACCAGGTCTGGTGACGGGGAGGGGAGAAGACCCTCAAGCCTTTGCCAGCTGTTGTCCCCAGGGCTGTCACAGTGCCAGGGCTGAGAAGTCACAGATTTCAGTGAGACGGCAGGAAGCATCTTTAAATAAACAGCAGGAAGGAGCCTCACCCATCTTGCACAAGGAGCTGTGTGACCGGCAGAGAGTGGGAGGAGCCGGGGCTGCCGTCTGTGACATCCTCCTCGTGTCCCTTGACTGTCCCCCGCAAAGAAGGACAAGGCGAAGGGGGCCAGGTGGCAGGGCAAGCAAAGAGGAGAGCAAGGAAGTCAGAGCCCTCGGCGGGCGTTCCCAGAATGCCAGCTCACTACAGGTGGGGACGAGCCAACCTCGGGGGTGGATGTCCCCTCCCTGGCGCTCCAATGCGTGGAGAAGAGCCTCAGAGCCAACCTGTCCCGTCTCCGAGGACACCGGCTCCATTGAACGCACCCGTAACTTGGGGAGCACGGGTTTGGATGGTGGAATTTTTCCTCTCAAGTCAACATTGTCACAATGGGTCCCACCTTTCCCAGCCCGCCAGGGTGGAGCCGAGCCCCCCAACTGCTCCATTCAGGGGCTTCGGGCCGCGTTTGCCATTCCAGCCCTAGTGACGACTCAACCCATCCGTGTTCCCCTGCCCTTACCCCCTGCCCAGCTGGCATGTGGCTTTGGGGACCCAAAAGGGACACCGATTACGTGTACTTCCCGGGGTCCCCAGCACCCCGCACTAGGCAGCCCACAGGCCCAGCTCGGCCAGGAGTGAAGAAGCCCTTGGCCCTGCCAGTGTCACCTTCCTTTTTCTATGGGGCACAACCCTGCTCCTGTTTCCCACAGGCCCCAGGCCCTTCGCACGTCCCCTTGGATAAAAGTCATCATGATGCCACCATGAGTGAGCTGGGACTGGGCTCGTCTGTCCTCCACACTGACAGACATGCTGCCTAAACCTCGGTCTGGTCTGCCCTGAGGTCTCACTCACAATGTCACAATGTCGTCCCCAGCACTGGGACGGGACAGCAGCTTTTGGCACCAAGTGCTTCTGGGCTCCACCCGCTGTCTCTGCCGCTCGCCTCCGGGCCCCATGTCCCCTGTCCCCAGTTCTCCCTTCTCTAGCTGTGTCTAAATGGCCCAGCTTTCCTCCATCGCTCCCTCTCGTGACCCCAGCACCGTCCACCTCCTCACTGGCCCTGCCCAAGTGCGTCACCTCTGGGCGTCACCCCGAACCTCCCAGTCCTCCTGTCACCTGCCTTGCAGTTGTGACTGTGACTCGTGAGGGGGACAAGAGAGAAATTTGAAGGTGTCATGTCTTGGAGAAGCAGGGGCTTATTACAGAAGGAACGGCCAGCCTGGGACACCCGTCTCAGAGGACAGTCAAGGGTCAGCCAAGGGCAAAGACACCACAGAGGCCACGCACCAGCCGTCAGGGCCCCACGCCCTTCGGGTGACAGTGAGCATAAAATGGATGGACTCCCCCCTTGCCACCCCGCAGCCCCGGAGGCCCAGTCCAGGTTGGCCCTGGGAAAAACAGATGGTCCCCGAGTGGCAAAGTTGACAGATGACAAAGGGGCGGGAGGGACCCGGGCATGTCACCAACCTTGAAAATCTGACATTCGCTTCAGGCTGATGGGGGATTTGGCTCGCTGCAGCTGATGGGGGAGGGGAGGAAGGAAGGCAGAGGACACAAATCAAACCAGGCCTGGAACACGTGTCACCACAGCCAGGAAGAAATAAGACGAGACCAAGCTGCCTCTGTCTGTCCCCCAGCTGCTGGGGATGACCGGGACAGGACACGGTGGTCCCGGGGCCTGATTCAGGCAGCGGCTGGTACACTTGAGCACCACAGCGCGGCCCTGGTTGGGCTCACGGACCATGTGGGGAGTGGGGGTGACACAGCTGTCACAGGACACTCCCAGCAAAGGCCGGGCCTCGGGAGCAGCTGATGGCCACTCTCGGGCCCAGAGGCCACCGTATCTGTGACATTTCACCAAGGCCAGTGTGGAGAGTACCTGTCATGCATCCGCCCACCCATTCCGTCCATCCGTCATCCTCGTCCGTCCATCATGCATCCATTCATCCTTCCATGCATCCACC